TTTGTTATTGTTGTTAAGGTTGTATTTACAAGGTTGTGCTTGACTTTAAACATACAAAAAACTAGTGACAAGTCGGCTTGATTTTCTATTGGAAGGATGTTAGCAATTTTATAGACATAAGGGGATGATTTTATGAGTGGCAGATTCAAGATAAATTTTAGTGCCCTCTGAATAATTTTGAGTTTTTGTTATAGGAGGGTTTCACAATGTCCGCACACAGATATTAAGTATGAGAGAAGGGAGTATATCAGTGCATAATAGATGTTTTTGAGTATTTGCTTGCTAAGACCACAGTGCCTTAATCTGGGCAGGATGCCAACTACTGGCGTAATCTTTTTCACAATGTGTGCAGCATGGCAACTCCAGTTTAGTTCAGAATCAAGATGCAAGCCGAGGTAGCACTATCCACTCTTTCTATGAGTTTGTTAAGTTCACTCTGTTTGGCTCAGGAGTAGATACCTTGCTGTGTGGAAAAGTAAATTTTCAGTCTTTTTCACATTGATAATAAGGTGGTGTGCATCCAGCCATGCAACTATTGTCTTAGGTTAGTATTTATTTTATTGTTCATTATTTCCTCTTCAGTTTTTGCTTCATAAAGTAATAGGATGTCATCTGCATAAAGCATCAGTTTTCCTGCCAAGGTGATAAAAGATAGGTCATTGATGAAAATTATGAACAATATTGGCCCCAGTACTGAGCCTCTGGGGACACCTATTGATACACCATTTAAGGAGCTCTTAGTTGATCCAATCTGCACATATTGATGCCTTTCTGCAAGATAAGTTGAAAGCCAATTATTGCAAGTTCCTCTTCCTGCATTTCTTTCAAGTTTGTCCAGTGGAATGTAATGGTGAACTGTATCAAAGGTTTTCTTTAAATCAATTAACAGCCCGGCCCCTAGCAATCCTTGATTGAGCGTTGATTGGATGTGCTTGGCAGCATTAAGAGTGTTGCATCCCGTGGGGTCCATTTCTGAAGAGATGACAGGCCACATCATTTGCAGTTGTGGCAAGTGGGTTAGAAGTTTAACACATTCAATTTCCCAATTAGGCAAATACGTCAATGAGCTGTGTTCTTTTTTGCTTCCCATTTTCTATATTTGAATGTTTTTGTATCAAACCAAGGTAAAGGAATCAAAGGAATTGAGAAGAAAAGATGCAAATTACAAGATTTTGCCATTTATTGAAATTAAATCACACAAGGTGGAAAGACTCAAACGCACTTGTCATA